GAGTCAGACAATATCATCTATAGACTTGATTTGCCATTATTGCTTAATTTATATTTGAATAGAATTGACCTTTATTTGAAAGCTTCATAAACACTTGTTTATGTTTATAGCTGAACACTGCATGCTATCTGTTGGGTTGCCTACGCAAGGCAAGGCAGTATCAAGAAAAGGGTCACGGTTTAGATTCCTGTGAACATCCAACATGACAGATTTAGAACAGTGTTTTCTAATGTAGCCCCACAGCCACATCAGTAAGACACAGTATGCAATCATTGCAGCCAAACCATAAATGTGCTCCATAAGCTGATTAGTGAATACCATCCTGAATGATCATTAAAGTTATTAATGGCCCTTATTACAATAATTCACTAAACACAAATCACTAATCAATACTGTGGGTGAATAACAGAGTAGTTTGGAAAATAGTGTTGGGACATGGTATAATTTGTTTACATTTAGTATTACTTATTGTAAATTGTTTAAAAATATATATTATGTTTTAACAGCCCTACATTATTATTTTTTAAAATAACTTCTGTTTTATAGATTTATATCTAGTTCAGTCATAAAACCAGAGGGCTGATTGTTCCTTTACATGCAATCTGGAAGTGATCACATTATAGGCCATTTCACAAGATGTAAACAACACTGGTCCAGAAGCACTTCCTGTTTCAGATTTTTAACACTACATAAAAGCTGGGATAAAATACAACCAACAGAACATTTAAAAGTGAATCAAAAAGTTAAACAAACATCTTTAAGATATTTTCTTTACATGTGAAATAAAGAAAACAGTTACAAACTGAAACAGGAAGTGTTTCTGGACCAGTGTTGTTTACATCTTGTGAAATGGTCTATAGATGATTGGCCTCTGCTGATCCTGCTACCAGTGAGATTGTTTGCTCAGCATTCAAATAATCGGATTCAGTGTTTGCTTTTGGCTAGTCCAGTTGTACAATATCATATTTACTCTGAAACCTTCCACCTCCCCCAGCCCCACCTGCCTATATCTGATATGGTAGTATGTATCTCTATTCACGCAGCAGGAGCATGTAGTGTATCTATTGGCAGCAGCAGTAGGCTATAATCAACAGTAGCATCTCTGTAGAAGATCTAGTCCGCCAAGACCATTAAAGGGGTCATGTATTCGCTATTTAAATAGTTGCTTCCTGGTTTGCAATAGGCTTGGGTATTTCTGGTGAACTGTCAGCTGTCAAGATGTCAATCTATACTCGCTGCCTTGAAGCGGCAGTGCGGAGTGCAGGTAAACTGATAATCTCTTCCTCTTTTCTACTAGTTATAGCAGGAAATAAACATGAGTAAACATCAGAAGATATGTTGAAAGATATAGACCAATGTACTGAAATGTATCATGTCTCGTTTTCACTCAATCATGTAAAAAAGGTTGAAATTTACTTCACCGTCTGATGTTCAGCTGTAAGCTGCCTGTCAAGTTGGGCAAATAAAGCAATAAAGAAAGAACAGAAAGGCAATCGCATTTTATAATTGATCTAACATCAAATAACAACGGCTAAACCGAAAGACCAACATATCTTGTGTAGAAAGGGAATGATCCATTTTATTTATGATCCATTTCTTTTGTTGTTGGTCATCAGTGTGGAATGTGTTTATTGATGGTCGAATTGAATTTTGCTGAGGAGGAACACTAAGGATGCAACGGTACTGTTCTCACAATGCTGAAATATAAATGTCTTTTTTATCCTGTTTTACATTTAAACAACGAAATTGATTCTAGGCCTGAATATTTAACTGACCATATTCTATTATAAACTAAGTATTACACTATTGATGCGGTTAAAGCTACCTCAGAAAATTGAAGACACCGCCACACCAACAAATGAACTTTTCCCCAGAAGTTTTCCAGTTGGCTTATATTACTGTGGAAGTTCATAAGGACATTCCATGCCTGTTACTTGATTTGTTTTTGACATGCAAAAGGTCTTTGTACTATTAAAACATCCTGTAAGTTTTAGAACTCAACTTCTTTGTTAGTCCAAAAATAGCTATTATGGAAACTAAGCTCCCGATTTCGGATTTTGTTACATTATGGTGTAATAGTGCTGTACAAAAGTCTGCATCGGCAGAATCAGATAAACGACTATGTCTATTGAACTTTGATTGAGAATAGTGATCCTGTATCTCTCTTAAAATAGTTTTTTTTTTTTTTTTTTTTTACAATTGCTATTCATTATTTTATTTTATTTTTTTACCATTTGACAGCCCTAATATTTTTAAAGTCATACATTAAAATGATGTTATAGAATTATCAAAGCAAAACATTCAATGGTAAAACCTCCTTGGACCTGAATCCAAAGTAAGCATGCAGAAATAGACTAGAAGATGTTGATACAGTTTCTTTATTTTCAAGGATGTGTTCCACAAACACGAATACCTATGTTTTTTCTGTCCATAAGTCAACTTATCCTTTTATGTTTTACTTGTACAATCAATTGCCTCTAAATTGATTGAAGTAGTGTACTATAAAATCATCCTTTGCATACAAACAATCAAAGTGAAAACTGTAGCAGAGAGAATCTGGTAGACAGAGGGGGTGGCAGCCACTCTCAAAGAAGTCAATGACAAAACATTGCAAACAAGACTACAGTATATATCCCCATTAGCATTTGTACACAATTTGATCTGTGTGTGAATGTCTTCATATTCAATAACAATTCTGTTGATTGCCAGTGGTTTTGTAGATTTGGGGAAACCCTCTTGGTAAAGAAACTGGGGAGAGAATAGTGCGGGTGTTTGGAAGTGTGTGTCTGTTCTTGCATGTATGCCAATCAGGGTCGGAGGGTAAACTACAAGGTAGAGATTGCTGGGGAAAGTGTAGGGATAGGTCACTTGGCAAAGACACACCACTGGAAGCAAATGCCTTTAGCACTACACCCACAGTAACTCGCCATTCACCAACAATCCATTATTATTAGCAGGTGACAGCGTTTTTAAAAGACCTTCGTGTCGCTTGTACTGTTCTGAGTGTGTTTGCTTGCGACAGACTATCATGTTAAGGCTTTGCTGTCCCTGGAACTTTCTGGTGATTTGTTGCAAAGAGGCCATTTTTGCCATATAGCAATTCTTACAGATGTACCAGCTTTTTGCTTGCCAGACATTTTGAAAGTGATTTTTTTTAATGTTTTATCTATTATCTTAAGTTTATAGGTACACGTGAACTCTTGCAACAAATATAGCTGTAGCATTTAGGGTATTATGTAATTGTGTTTAGTTTCTTTGTTAAATGGTAAATATCGGGATATAAACCTCACTGTAAACCTCATCTGCATTCATTGCCTTATCTCAAATGTGCATATTACAATTTTGAATTTACATTTGGAGGAAGATATGATAATTAATTTGAAATACCTCAGTTTTTGGACAAGAACATATTTACTTTAATGCAAGCAAGCTATTGACGAGCTGCCCTTACAAAAAAGAATATATACTTCAAGTTAATTTTATTAAGTATACTTAAAGTTCAAGTATATTTTAAGTATACTTTACGAAGTAAGTACTGTAAAATATCAATGTTATAGTAGTGTATACTACTTGGTCCACATTTTAGACTTAAAGTGGGTAAGTTTAATTAAAAAAGCAACATTTTGTACAAAAAAAGAAAACAGTAATTTTGTCAAAGACAACATCTGGATCAGATCCAGAGCGATGAACTAAACATATGGAGAAGATCACATTCATAAACACCCATAAATCTTCACAGTCATTACCTCTTCATGGGTTTTGACATTTCATTTGGCAGTTTTGATGCTGTTTAATGTTTGATGACCACATTATTTTTACATTTGCTTGAGCAATCTTCTATCACTTGTTTCTGCTTCTTCTGCAAACATGGATAACCGTGAAATCGGCACAAAAATTCACATTCTCAGAATTAGGAGCACATTTTTTTTTTTCAAAAGATTGAGTACACGTATTTGCCAAATACAATATACTTAGACTTATCTGTCAGTACAAGTCATGCATGCAAGTGTATTTCTGAGAAGCACATAAAAAGTAGACAAAGTATACTTTCTTATTTTTAGTTAACATTTACATTTATTTATTTACATTTATTCATTTAGAATATGCTTTTATCCAAAGCGACTTACAAATAAGGACAATAAAAGCAGTTAATAGCACAACAATATGCAAGTGTTATGACCCTTCCCCGTGTAATCTAACACAGTTTTTTAAGATAATAGATGTTTGTATTAATGGATCAAGTGTTGCCGAAAAAGATGCGTCTTCAGCCATTTCTTGAAAGTGGCTATGGACTCAGCAGCTCTGGTTGAGTTGGACAGGTCATTCTACCAGCAGGGAACAGTCATGGTAAAGGTCCACGAAAGAGATTTTGTGCCTCTTTGTGATGGTACCACAAGACGACGTTCACTTGCATAACGCGCGTTTCTGGATGCCACATACGTCTGAAGTAATGAGTTTAGGTAGGAGGGAGCAAAAGCCAGTGGTTGTTCTGTAGGCAAAAGTCAGTGACTTGAATTTGATACGAGCGGCAACTGACAACCACAGCACAGAGCAAGCTGGAAGACCAGCCAGGAGAGCATTACAATTACAAAGTATACACAGTTGAATAAACTTGTTTTTTGAAAGGGTGTGCATGCAAAAAGGTGGCAGTATTTAACTCTAACAATGACATAACTTTACAATAACTGAGTGTTCTATTTTTTGGTCAAATCATAGATGCTTTGTTGAGTCATTAGCTTTGACATTAATGTATCTCGTCAGCAGTTCAAAATGGGTCCATCCGCTGCATATCTTGTTTACAAAACAAAGCAGGGACCAACATAGCTGGGAACAGTCTGTCTGGTTGTAAGGTCACGGAAAGAAAAGCAGACAAAACATTGAGATATTCTAGCCGAGTGTCTGCAGCGGAAGCAGATTCTGCTCTCTTATTGAGAGTTCAGTGAGAGTTCAGGGAGAAAGAGAGATTTTAAATGGGTTTTCTTTCTTTTTTTCTTGCACAGGTACTTCCACGCCATCTACCTGGGCATCAGGAGCAGACAGAGCGGAGAGAATGACCGTTGGAGGTTTTACTGGAGGATGGTGTACGAGTATGCAGATGTCAGCATGCTCCACCTACTGGCCACGTTCTTGGAGAGCGCCCCTCAGCTGGTGCTCCAGCTGTGTATCATCATACAGACTCACAAGCTCCAGGCTGTGCAAGGTAGCACAACACACACACACACAGTCCCCATCAGACCCGACCCCGGCCTCTAAACATAACCCTAACAGAATGAAAAACACTAGATTTAAATATAAACATGATTTGACTGATTTATAAACTCACTTATCTAGCGAGTTCCGGCTGTGTGTTCAACAGGTTTCATTAAGAGTAGTGAGGACATTATTGAATAGTAAGAACATTTTGGACTCAAACTTTCCTTGCCTTTTAAAAACCTATACTTGTTGGCTAGGCTGGGAGACCATTTAGCCACCTTTACCTGGTTTAAGCTCTCTTTTTCAACAGGGATCCCAGTATTTTATCATTATATTGTTACTCTTATATATGTGTCTTTGTAAGGATGAGGGTAGGACAGCACTGAGGAGAACATCGGGTTTACTGTCATCCTTCACTTTACACATCTCATCCTGTCTGTATAACAGTGATGGAGAGTTGTGGAGTCAACTGCCACTGAACCTTAAAGACTGCTGCAGAGGAGAGAAGGGGAGTGCTTTTTCAAGAGCATTGCCAAAGTGGGCTTTTATTAGGGAGAAAGCAAGCTTTCAAAGCAATGCTTTTTTATTGGGTCCTCTTTTTGGGGAAAGCACCATTTTGGGGTATTGTGAAAAGGAATTAACTATGGAATTCTGAGAGAATAATTATAACTTTGTTTAGCATTCAACAAAGTACCTTTTGCTCATAAATCCTGTAGTGTCAGCCGTCTATAAGACCTGGAAAAAGTCATCTAATAAATTTCCCGTTCATTTCAATAACAGTTACTCCACTGACACATGACCCTCTGGAAGAATGTGATTTGAAATCTGCCATCTTGCTCATGGGCATGTGAGTTCCAGATAGTTTTCCCCCCATTTTTACCAGGGTCGGGTTAAAAAAAAAACCCTTAAGGTAAGAAACCCTTTGAATTAAAGATCACTAAGATTTTTTTTTACAACCACTGAGCTGTAAATGCCATGTGACTCCTCACTCTGGAGATGCAGGAAAGTGACGTCCTGACAAGACTAATGGGCTATAAACTGACCCTGCCAGCTATAGGTCAATCGCGCTTCAAAATTTTGATAGAAAAGTCATTACTAAATGGGAAATGGCCAGCATTTCCCCTATCATTTACCCTGACCAGACCATATTTATCCCGTATAAGATATCTTGAAGTGGGGGGCAGGGAAGCTCTTATTAGTCTGTATGCGGACAATGTTATGTTGTATTTGCGGAAGATCAGTTCCCATTTTCTTAGATTATTATTTTTTTTGTAGGCTATCAGGGTATACAATTAATCTATCCGGCTGATTTCTTCGGTGTTCAGTCATTTACAGGGACTTTGGCATTGTTTGAATTATTTTTCGTTTTTATACCCATTTATCATTGTGGTATCACTGCTTAAATGGTATTTTAAAACAAACAAAATTGGTCACCATACATATTGGTCTGTTCCTGTATAAGTGAATATGTGGTTTTGCAGAGCCTGACTTTTAGAAGGGAAGATGATCTGTTATCATGTTTCTCATTGCTACTTGTGTCAGTAGAACACTAGGGTCGATTTATGGGACTTTAAAACCTCAGATTGACATTGTGGTGACCTTTCAGTCGGCCCACACTTACCAACAATCATAAAAAATGGTCATGTTACCGGAGTTGTTCATAAATGGCTATTCTGTTGATTTGTGCTTCCGAGCTTTGTGGATTGCAGAACCCTGCCTAGCAGTTAAATCTTCAGTGCCTTTATGTGCTGTCTTCTGTTCTTCATAATCTTCCTTAAACAAAAGTGCCCATGGGACTGCCAGAATTTTTCTCCCATCAAGGCTGAGAAATGATTTATGAAAGCAGAGGTCCTGAGCTCCTAATGCAACAGAGCTGTGAATATCCTTTTGTTTTGAGCGTGAGGATCTGAGCGTCTGCTCCGTGTGACAGTGGGAGCGGGTCTGGAGGCAGTTTCGCTCGTGGTGTTTGGTAGAGCAGAGCGGCGAACCTTCTGATGCTCTGAACTCTTTCATCAGAGCCTTTCCTTTGAGATTTGTCGCTCTTGCGCTTACAAGTCAAAAACAACATTGAGCAGTGTAGAAATTTAACTCAACAGAGCAGTCATAATTCAAAAGCTCAACGTCTTCTAAATAGACTAAACAGTCTGTCTACCATTTGATGGCAGTCTGCAGAGGCGCAGTGGTGAAATGTAGGCCGCATTTGATTTGTATTTCTCTTACTCAGGCTGTCCCTTGTTCGCTCTACAAATGCTTCCTCCCTAACTTTACCAGTATCTGTCGCAGTAGAATACGCTGTCAGTCAGTAAGGCTGTATCTTTTTTCACTCTTTTCCTTTACGCAGCTTGTCTTTGAACCCCTGCCAGAAATAAAACCTCTCTACCTGCTCACGTAAATGGGCCACTCAGCCTAACCATTTCCTGCAACAGTTCAGCATAGGAAAAATTCTTGCTCATAACATTTACCCAGTTGACTGTTTTGACTGTTGAGAAAGCATCTCTTTCTTTTGAATTATTCTTCATATTTATTTATTTTCTTGTCTGAATGTCATACAGTAAACACAAATGTGTCCCGTCACACCATTACATTGATTTTTAATTTTTAATTATTTTTTATTTTAGTTAGCCTACTTAAGTGATCATTGAAGCATCATGAGAATCAACTGTACAGTTTACACAGGGGTTTTCAACAAGGGGTCCATTACCTGCCTGCATAATGTTAAGTATAATAAAAGTATTTATGACATCATTAATGATTATATTAATCACAATAACCATGTAAATGCATTGATATGGTACTGCATGCATGTTATTATTGTAGACCAGGCTACAACAACTCCTAGACCCCCGCCGTAAAACGATGCATTGATTAATATAGATTAGTTTTTTGTTTTTTTTTGGTTTTGCTTTTTTGATTATACGTCTATTTTAGGGAAGTCAGGTGCAATTGCAACATTTTTATCAAATCTACCTTCCATATGTTCCTATAATAAAAAATTATATGTGCCAATATAGTGTAATATGAATAGATTAGCAATAAGAAAGCCTAAGTAATAATATTGAATTTAATATGAGTTGGAATAAAACAAACATTTTTGAAGAACCTTCACCTAACTCTTTTCTATACAAACACATGTGTTTACGCTCCTAAAAGAGCAAAACACCATAAAATCAATGTGTGCTACATTTCAGGATTTAAAAAAAATAAAATAAAAAATCCAGTAGTAAACATCCAATACCTTTGTTCCTCCTTTTCTCACAGGAAAATTCTCCCTTTCCTGTGTAAACAGATAAAAAAAATAACAACATGGAGAGTTTGGAGCGACATGAGGGTGAGCAAATGTTGAAAAACGTTGACAAAATTTTCATTTTTTTTGGTTAAAATTCCTTTAATGTGAATGGATTTGAATGGCCTGTAGAAGTAGATAAAGGAGATACTGCAGTGATGCTGTGGTTTGCAAAACCCTGGTGCTACCACGCACCCTACAAACACACAACACACACTGTCTATGCCCTCCTCCCCTCTTCAAATTACTGCAGCCCTCATGAGCAGGAGCAGCAAGGAGCATTACGTCACCCCTGCCGCTCTCGCAGCTTCGCACGCTGGACCGTGGCAGGTTCCCGTGGCGACCGTCTCCTCAGGATGCGCCGCACGTGTGCAGGATATGAGGGAGAGAGGGAGGGAAGGAAGGAAGAATACATGCACCCTTGCTGTCGTTAGAGAGCACCGGAGCCAAGCCGCAGGCCAGATAGCCCACGGAATAAGAATTATAGCCTGGCCTCTGTCAGTTAATTACCTCACTTTGCTAAGTAGTCATTACACCCCCTCAGCTCTCTCCTGCTACTAATGGGCCTAGATTTAATCTAAGTGGGTTAAACATGTAAATAAGCTATTGAAAAACTCACACAGTATAAACAAACACTAGATGATAGATGTATAAACAAACCCTAGATGATTGATTGATAGATAGATAGATAGATAGATAGATAGATAGATAGATAGATAGATAGATAGATAGATAGATAGATAGATAGATAGATAGATAGATAGATAGATAGATAGATAGATAGATAGATAGATAGATAGAGGTTCTGTAAGATTTGTTATTGTTTTTGAAAGATGTCTCTTGCGCTCAACTGAATTTGTTTAATCAAAAATACTGCAAAAACATTACAATTGTTAAATATTAGCCATTTTCTATTTTAATATATTTTAATATAACTATTTTATTTTAAAGTAATTTTTTCCTGTAATGGCAAATCTGAATTTTCAGCATCATTACTGCAGGCTTCAGTGTCATAAGATCCTTCAGACATCACTCTAATATGATTTTGTGCACTGGAAACATTTCGTCTTGTTCATATAATTATTACTATTATTATTAGTATTATTATTAGAGATGGATTGTGTGCCTCATCTAATCTGGATACTTACAGCTGAGTTATAGTAAAAAAAAATAAAGATCAGGAAATCTTTCCCTGAGATCAGTAGAATCTTTAGGCCTGTAATCCAAAGAACATTGTTGATTTCACTGTAAATGAAATGGTAACTGAATAGTTTATCTTGTCTTGTGTCAGATTCAGCTGTGTAAACATGGCTAATCTGTTCCATCCATAGGAATAATATAGTGATTATAATTATCTTTAATTATGAGGAATTATTCACAATCTGGATGGATCGAAATCATGGGTTCAGATCTGAACTACAGTCTGCTAATTGGTGACTTGTAAGGCGCTCCGTAGAGGATGTGACCACAACTAGGCACTCGCTCTGGGAGTGTCGACATCACAAATTTCTGTGCTTTCATTCACTCTATAGATGCCCATGGGTCCTTATGCTATCAAAAAATATCCTTACCATTGATCATCCATTATGTTTGGTGAATTGGTGTAGAGTGACAGCTCATCTGACTACAGATGGCAGAGAACAGTGAACATGCAGCTTGCTTCAGTGAAATGAAAATAATACTCACCTTTATTTGGACACAAATTAACACATCTTTGCACATTCATCATTTCACATGAGGAATTATTTAATTATTCATGGCTGTGGACCGCGATGGCGTAATCTTAGCAACGTGGTATTCTGCATTTTTACTGATGCTGTTTGAAAGGGACTGATTGGCACAGAAGCTTCCTGTTATCTGAACCTCTCCCCTGCTTGCACTACACCATTATACTGAAGAAGGATGATAAAAAAGGACATTATTCTGAAGTCTGTGTCTTGTCTTGATATGATTTGGGTGAATATCAACCTGAGAGGTAAAGACAAGGTAATATATTTACTCTTGGGTTTCGTTTAGACTTAAGGGAACTAATAAATTCAAAGTCTGTCTTGGTATCTCAGGAACATAATTCAGTGAGATTGTCAGATTTATTTGTTTTGTTTTTCTGACAAGAGAAATAAATGTTTCAGTATTAATATGTTGGAGCCAAATGCTGCTATATGCAACACAATATTTTAACTGATAAACATTTGAATTAATCATAGAGAACATTAAACAAAAATGATCAACTGCATAAAAGTATTTTTCTAAATGTATGTTGTTTCCTTCAAATCAACTGTTTTCTATATTAATATATTTTATAACAGAAACGGTGATACATTTTTACTTTACTGTCTTTACTGTCACCGTTGATAAATTCAGTACATCCTTGCTGGACCTTTCTTTCAAAAAATATAAAAAAAAATCTTAATGACCTCAAACTTCTGACCGTATTTTATTTTATCATTAAAATGTTGTTATGGCAAAGTGCTTTGACCCCAAAAAGCATTTGAATATTTAAGCCATATTAAATATATATGTAATATCTTTGCATTATATTATTATTTGCATTATTATTTTCCAAGTAAAATATTTCACAAAAAAATTATGTTAGAGAGACAGTCCACTTAAAAATGAACATTTTCTCCTCATGGCTCCCTCATGACATACTCTGTGGAACAAAAGAGACGATTTCATACATGTTTAGACCGATATGGGGATGAAGCAAATAATGACAGAAACTTTCATTTTGGGTAAACTGTCCCCTTGTGAGTTAAGTTTTAAATTGAGTGACCAAACACACTTTTTGAGGCTGCTGAACTAGTCTAGATAGTGTTCCAATATTAAGCCTTTATGTCAGTATCAATTTTAAACTTGAATGTAAGAGCTTTTACTATGCAATGAATGATTCATTCAGTGAGGAGAGACTGAACAGTATGTGTAATCTTTATATCCTGCCTCACTCACTCAATACAATAAAGTGATCACTCCATCAGCTCAAGCGCACAATAAACATGGCAGCCGAATCCAGAACAGAGTGTCACAGTGCTAAAGACCGGTGTCACGCGCTCTAGTCACTGCTGGCTGCTTTACTGTACTCCATCTGATGCAGATGCCTTGTAAAGCCTCCTCCATTAAGCGCAACCGAGTATTTTGGACAACATGATGGATGACATCTCACTCACTGAGCCAGTGAGTCATAACTATGGAAAGATGCTGTTCAGCAGAATTCCAAAGAGGCCTTTTTTTTCCCCTGAAGAGGAAATAAAACACAAGTCTCATCAAAATGAACCATGTCTCTTGAGTCACCGTTTATCAGCTTTGATCAGGGCCGGAGCTTGTAAACCTTAGTGTGGTGTGACTCACCAGAGGGTCGAGATTTGTAATCGCAAACAGATTCATTACAGGAGGGCTGCATGTGACACGCACTGGAGCGTGAGCCATTGATGGACACTTCCATGTGCAAGCTACTCCATTAGCCCACTTCCGACTGTGGATATGTAGTAATGAGATGTATTTGCATGCCTTGGTGAGCACTTCTTATTCTGCATTTGAAACCAGTGTCCTATTGTATCTGGGTAAGAAGCGCCTCACATGTCAAGATGCATTTATAGCTGGTTAGCACACTGTTTCTTCTGGACACTTTTTAAAGTAATGAACTCCCAGAAAACACACTTTTCATATTCACTAGTTTATGTAATTTGTCTACTAACAACATCCAACAGTATGATACATAGTAGATGCGAAAGTTCTGTCATTTCTGTCCTCTTTTTATTTACTTTATTTTTAAAAGTCATAAACAGTTTACCTTAATTTTCACACCACAGTTTTACAGCATTTTGTCTCCTAAATGAATACACCTGAATGATATTATTGTACTTTTTACATAATTTGACAATTAGAGATTGATTCTGTAACAAAAATTCTGTTTCACTTTCATCTCAAGCTGTTCAGTGTTTCTCTCTCTTTGGTAAACAAGTGCATTAACTTTTGATAAAACTTTATTGGTGTAAAAAGTGTTAGTTTGGGTGGAAATTACTTCTTTAATGATTACTTCACTCGATTCTTAAGATGTTTATAGTATGTGATATTGTATTTTTAAATGTAATATTTCAGAATTTTATAATGGATTTTCATAGGTTAAGACTGAAAATCTGGGCCAGGTAAAACAATAAAATCTATACAGAAAATTTTAAAAGAGATAATAAAAAATAATTCTGTTGTCTGATGCTTTTAATAAAAAATTAAACCTGGCATGTGTCAGTGTAAGGAAACTGAGCAATGTCATATTTACTTACATACTCCACATATATTCTGTGTAGTTTTATATGTGCTCCAATTTCCTCGGTGGATTGACATAACCATAACCGATGCTTCTCTCCTTTATTTCAGGGATGACAGCGGCTGCTTCTCTGGTGTCACTAGCCTGGGCTCTGGCCTCCTACCAGAAGGCCTTGCGTGATTCCCGAGATGACAAGAAGCCCGTCAGCTACCTTGCCGTCATCATTCAGTTCTGCTGGCACTTCTTTACCATAGCCGCTCGCGTGGTGACCTTCGCTCTCTTCGCCTCTGTGTTTCAGCTCTACTTCGGCATCTTCATTGTGCTGCACTGGTGCATTATGACCTTCTGGATCGTACACTGCGAGACCGAATTCTGCATCACCAAGTGGGAGGAGATTGTCTTTGACATGGTGGTGGGCATCATCTACATCTTCAGCTGGTTTAATGTGAAAGAGGGACGCACCCGCTTCCGCCTGTTCATCTACTACTTCATGATCCTGTGTGAGAACACGGCCCTGAGCACGCTGTGGTACCTGTATCGCTCACCACCCAGCACGGACGCCTTCGCTGTGCCCGCCCTGTGCGTCATCTTCTCCAGCTTCTTCACCGGCATCGTCTTCATGCTCATGTACTACACTTTCTTTCATCCCAACGGGCCGCGTTTCGGCCGCTCGGCTAGCCTGGTCCAGCTGGAGGACCCCACTGCTACCTTTATGCTGCCCCCTGAGGGTGCCACCAACTCCCTGCGCTCCAACCGCGGAGGCACACTGGCCAGGGACGCTGACCGCGAGGCCAAGTACAGCGAGCGGGACGGCTGCGTGCCTGTCTTTCAGGTGCGGCCCACCGCGCCCTCCACACCTTCCTCCCGAGCCCCGCGCCTTGAGGAGACGGTCATCAAAATAGACTTGTGCAGGAACCGCTATCCTGCCTGGGAGAGGCATGTGCTGGACAGGAGTATACGTAAAGCCATCCTGGCCATCGACTCGTCTCCGACCCCGCCGCGCCTCCAGTATAAAGACGACACGTTGGTTCAAGAGCGTCTGGAGTACGAGACCACCTTGTAGCCTGCGCTGTGGAAACACACAAACATGAACACATTACCGTCCACTTGAATAAACAGCAGGACTGTGGCAATAACGTTTCTAGCGTACATAGCATCTAGCCATGATGTTGATTGTCATGGACAAACCAATATAGGCACAACATATTTGTGGACGGATGGAATAATCGATCTTTTTAAAGGCCGTTCTCTCATTGCATTTTATTTTTTATTACTTCTGACTTGTCAGGGAATATCTGGGTTTCTAAAATTCATTGCACTGGCTGATGTAGACCACTAACCCCTCTCTCCATTCCAAGAGTTGATAGTCCTCGGACCAATGTCTATAAACTGCGAGAGGACATCCAGAACACTTCACACAGGTTGTCTCTTACGGTAACTGCAAAACAAAGGCCTTTCCCTTTGAAACCAAGCATCCAGTGCAATGAAACGGCCTGAAGAAACAGTGGTCCAAATATCAAATTAATGGTACACGCATAAAAAAATTGCTGATCAGACTCGAGACGCCCTTGTTTAGGGTGCTGTAACCTATAAGTAGTGTTTCATCAGCAGCTCTGTACAGTACCAGTGCCAAACGCTTCACGACTTCACGCTGAACTGTGGCTTGACCACAAACTGTATATATAAACAGGGCAGCATTTCAACCATCTACTTGAATTCTATACAAAGAAAAACGCTGAGAAAAGAAAGTATGTGACCATCACAAGAGTCCTAGCCACTTGGGATGACAAAACAGGTAGAACACATGCTCGTTTTCTTCTTTAGGAGAAGACAATAAGCCAAGTGAACACTTCCTGGCAGCTCCCTTTGGCGATCTGGCCTCATTCGCCTCAACGCTGTCGGCTTACAAGGATCCGTTTGGTTCACAGCAAAGTGGAGGGCACAGACCACCAAATTCACAGTGTCTGCCAAACTGTATTCAACAGAACCAGGGTGCACTTCATCTTCTAGGTTAAAGATACAGTGTTCTTCTAGGCCAACCTGGGTCAGGTTTTGGTGTGTCTATGTTTTGTGTGCTGTATCAATACAGAAAAGCCAGTAATAAACAATAAACGGGGTCCTCAATACCTCAATTCATCCGGAAAGCCGCCGAAGTGTGCTATCCCAAACTCTGCAAGGCAATCAAGACTTTCTCCATGGGGCTCTTCAATTGCCAACTCACGGTCTACTAATCGAAGTGTCAGGGAAAGCTAGTCTGTGACAGAGCACAGACTAGCTAATGTGCTCAGAATGACACTCCGGGCCCAACCATTCAACACATCACATCTGCCTAAAAGAGCACTGTATCTTTAAATCTGCCAAAAGCATCCTTTTATATATGAAAGTGTTGGAGTTTTAAACTTTCCGTTCAGTTGCAAGTGCTTCTCTGTGTCTTTATGTCGAATATCCAAAGGCATTTATGGAGACGTGGAGGTGAGGGCAGAAAAGAAAAACAAGCACAAAACTTGTGACAGGAAGGAGTCTCAGCACAATGAAGAATTTATTCGGTGGTTGTTACACTTACGTTGAGAGACAACTTGAAATTTCACTACGACAGAAGCTAGATGTGCCTGTTGTGGATAGTTTGAGATTTTGAAAATGTTGGGGGAAAAATGTTTTATGTGTAACATTTTATATACATTTTCTTTTGTTTTTCTTTTGTTTTTTGGTGGATTTCCAAGGTGCACATTATTTTGCTTAATGCCATTTAAGTGTGTTGAGATGACTGATATAGGACATTTAGATTAGGTTTGCTTCAGTTGGTCAAATATGAACTGTAATTTGGGTTTTATTGTAACTTTGAAAAACACTTCTGAAGTGTTGTAACGTCCCACCATCGGTGGCAAATGAACTGAAAGCGTAGTTGTTTTAGCCCGCAGCGATCTGCACGCTTGCAGATGAAGATCCTAATTGTGTTGCAAATTAAAAAAAAAGAAAGAAAATAGAACAGGAAAAAAAATTAGATGAGATCGAATGAATCTATAACCAGTACCACAGTGAAACGTAGACCTGTATATTTTAGCTATTTTGCAATTTTCCTAACACATCCTTTTTTCTTTTCTTTTTTTTTTTTCAAATGTGTCTTATACTTTTATTTCTCTGTGTGATGGATAATGATGCTTGTCTCTTGGCAAAAAAAATCTTAATAGCCCTGTCCGCTGTAGTCAGAGCACACAAAAAACTTGTTAGCACACGTATTTAGCAATTTTCACATTTAAATTGCTCCACCACCTACACAAGAAAGAAAACGAGTGTTACATTGCACACGTCTGTGATATTACGTATCAATGATTTTTGAAAATCATTCCACTTTTTTTGTTTTCCCATAATACCATGATATTTTTTGTTTCAGTGATAGCTACCATGCTGCATAGCTACTGTGTTTTGGTTCATTTGATTAAGAGGAGCTTACTAACGGCAACACTGGCTTAATGTTTGGTGAAATTCATCTTTATCCAGCCATTTTACAGGTGTGAGGCCTCGATAATTTTTTAATGTTGAAATATTACATGAATTTAAAATACTCAATGCAATGCAATACGTTCAGCATAAGGGGAATGAATCAAGGTCTTTACCTAAAAGGCTGTGTTGGGATTGAAGTTTGGAGAAGCTGAATTCACCATTATTAGCAATGCTAATGCTACCAAAGTCCTGATGAAACGGAAGTAGCTGCTGATTTTTCTTCTGTATTATTTGTGACACAAATGTAATGGATTAGTAAAAAAGAAAAAAAATTAGGACTTGGTCCTATTGGTTGTTGACTGGATTTTGCACTCAAAATGGAAGCAGACGAACACAAGTCTAGCAGAGAAGTCTTTTGTATCTACTATCCAGTTATGAAATTTTGATTAAAACTTATAGTCGAAATAAAAGTAATAAAAAAGAAACCTATAAATGGATTAAATGCGTCACGTGACCAAACCGGAAAACAGGTCTTATTGCATCCGCTTGTCAGAGAAAGTGTTAACGGCCGTAAGAGAACTGACTACGATATCTGGATTTTTAAGGTAATCAGCTAACCTACTTAACGTTAGTTCACTTTATAATTGGTGTTTTATTCCATTTAAATATATAAACGTTACTGTGAAGAAGGAAAAAATATAAAACGTTTAAATATCAATCTGCACATGTGAGGGACATTGGTTATGCTAATCTTTGCTGGCAAGGAGTGTGAATTTGGCCGAACATCAAGAAGCTATTCATGCAGATTACGCACACATTTTAAAGAGGTTCATACATCCTAGTTTAACATAGACTCCATGTTGTACATGACACAAGCTAATCATAATGTTATAGAAACTATGTATTTTTATTTTGCACTTCCAGCTTTACGTTTTATATTTGTGTTTTAAATTATAAGTAAATATGATTTCATAGCTCACCATTTCTTCACTCTGGAAACTTTAATTCATACCTGTAACCTACCTCAAAGCGGTATTTTAAACAGACCACTCTCCAGCTCTGGTGGTTGATATGATGGAATTTATTGCAATGGAGTCCCAGTGTATGAAGGAGTTGAAGGCTGTTCTGTTTATTACCAGTACATCAGTAGAGCTCCAGGACTTATTTTACAATTATTCACAGCAGGAGAACATTGAATTCATGCAAGCTGGTTCAGTTTTATTTGCCTTAACCGACGCTCGCCTTTTTGTGGATTCATTACTCGTGACATTTTCTGTCTGTTTCTTTTGGTTTAGTTTTAGTCATGCATACGATGCTCCGGTTACTGTCGTGCTAGTATAATGACGTTGCATTATCGATTAGTGTTCTTACTGTGCTTATACTGCAAGCAAGGAGACACAAAAAGAAAGCAGACTGAGGCTTGAAATAGCATATGCAGACAAACAATCAAAACGTCGACCCAAATTGTCACGGGTCACAGGCCGTACTGTTACACGATTGTGAGCATTTTTAATTGTAATATCAGTTAGCGAAAACTGAATGACTCGAAGAGCTGAAATGAAGTGGCACTTGCATTTTTTGATTCATTGAAGAAGCTTTCTTTTGTTGAATAAACAAATTGATGATCCTCCCTCACCTGTAGACATAGATGATAGATAAACTAGAATACCATAGATGGAGGAAAAAAATACATTTAGATAAATGATAATCAGTGGTTATTTATAAAGCACGATATTAGTACAAGCACAGTAATTGAATGAACTCGGTGGTGTTCGGTTCAGCGTTCCTATATGATGTACAGACTTTACTGGTATCTCAGTTACAACGGAAGTTCCATAGTGACTTGCAAAAGGCTATTTAACTGTAAATAAATGTATGCAAATGTACATGTGTAAAAGAACATTCCTTTCTGAGTCCTGATCGTAAAGGGTGTCTATTGACTAGAGATCGGCAGTTATATGACGTAATACAGATCAAATAGTGTGGTGTATGTGATGTATTAAATGACATAAAAAAGAGCAAAAAAAACAAACAAAAAAACGGCTTATTATTGGTCTCTTAAGTTGTATCATGTGATGAAAGTCTGAAGTGCGTAAAATGCATCAAATCTGTTATCTGATTTTATTGTAAATTGAAGAGTAAAACAAAAAACAAAACAAAAAGAACGTTACATTTTTTGTACATATTGGATTTTTGTAAAATTTTTATTTGATTCTAATGCAACACAAAGTACCAAATTCATTTAATAAAGTACACTGTGGTCATTTTATTAGACTTCCTTGCAAACTTCTTTTGGATTTGCAGTTAAGTGTGAATAAGATCCATTCGAATTTTCAGAATGTCAGCGACTGTTTCAAGGTTGGAAGAAAAAGCAATGGAGCTTTTTCTGAGACAGTCTGTCACAAATGCTTAGTGATGAGTTTGTCTGAATATGTATTCTCACAACTCATATGATTTAAGGATTCACTCCTTCATTTGAAGAGACTCTTGGAGAAGGAAGATTAGGAGCATATGAAGAGTTCAGATGCAAAAGCCTCTAAATGCCATTTGAAATTTTCTTCTAAAATGATCATTTTTATCAAGCTTATATATTCAAGTTCAGTAATTTCACTTAAATGACAATTAATAGGTAATCCTCATTGCAATTTAACTGAAATTACTGAACTTAAATATACAAGCTTGATAAAAATGATCATTCTAGAAGAAAATTTCAAATGGCACTTAGAGGCTTTTGCATCTGAACTCTTCATATATAATCCAATACAAAATCATGAATAGTAAGTAAATTATTATTACTTTCCAAGAGTTTTTTGGGGGAAAGAGGGTTGGTGGGATTTACAATGGAAGCACAGATGCTGTAAGTCAATACCAAACCAGTTTTATAAATAGCAATAGGGCATTTGCATATCATGCACCAAACACCGGATGTGCACAGAGATCAAGACTGTGACGAAGACTGTGCTCATGCTGACATTTGATCACAGACACACACAATACATTTTCTCCCAGAGGAGCACAAAAGTGCATTAAAACGGTTTTACCAACACTGAATCCATAGGAATATGCAGTTTTATTGCGAATAATAAAAATCTCTTATGAAATTATACATTTACAACCATTTATTTACACACTGATCAGATTTGATTACTGCTTGAAATAGCATTTATTGTAAGTCCATAAATTTCAGGAATGTTACTAAATTTCTTATTGAATTCTGAAAGCCCTGTATGCTGCCTTTATAAAAGTCATTAGCAGTTGCATACTTATTTTTATTATCAATGTTGTATTAAGCTCTGAGAGCAGGGCAAAGCAGTATCAACTGATGCTTAAATAGACAGCAGTTCGCCTCTGACCGTTAATACAGATATTAGACTAAAACATGTTAAGTATTCAACATCACACAACAAATGTTCAAGCATGTATCTCTCATCACTATTAACTAAGTGTGCTTATACAATTCCCCAAAAATCACAGTATCCACAATTTTGAATTAATTCCTTCAGATAGGTAATTCACGAGTTCACCTGCTCCTCGAACTACCTGTAACGTTCCTATGTGGGAGAATGAGAGAAATAGAGGAAACGCTCATAATGATTATTGACAGGCATGACTAATCAGGCTCCTCCCGAACCTACATTTATTTATATTATCGATTTCCAGGACAGAATGCTATTTTATTAAAAGGACATAAAAATACTAACCAAAGGCTTTGTGGTCAAAGTTTTTGGCAGTGGTCCTTTGATTAAAACCAAAGTGTGCAAATTAAAAAATAATAATAATAATATTCACACACACACACACAAAAAAAACACACTTAAACATGCACAAGACTACATGTAACCAGATATTACAAAGACACGCACCATTATTTGATATGCAACATTGATATATATGCTAATCTGTCCACTATATCATCAGTAGTTACTAATCTCATGGTGTAACAATATCATATAATATCTCCAATGTTCAGTTGAATGCTTGAACTTGAAGCATATTTATATGTTCAGTCTGAGAAGGCAAGTGTGCTAATCTTCTTTGTGTTCCCTTTGGAATCGCTCCAAAAGAGCTCGGAGGACGTTTCCAGGTATCTTCTGGTGTTTGTCGATTAGTGCTTGAACTGCCTGTTGCACCTGAAAATATTGGTTGGATTGAAGAAAATACACTGTATATGAGATCTTTACAAAGTCAATATTTAAAACAAACCCCAAAACAGATGCATGAATTCAACATGCGACAATCTTCATAGTAATAATAAAAAGGTATTATAGGTTGACAAACATTATAGAAAAAAAAAACGAATTTAAAAATCAAAATAAATCTCAGTGTGTCAGAGTTGAGTGCGCGCACATCCATTCCGAGAAAAACAAACAAACATGTTGATCATGTTTAGAGGTTCTTATGTTACAACCCTGATGAGAAAATCCCTCCAAAAAGTTTCCAGTTTCAATTGGATGAACTTTCAAATGAAGTTGGAAAACACTGTGTCATGATGGTGTGACGCACGCAATTGGATCCCGGAAGTCCTATAACTTTAGCCAAGTAGAATTTCATGTCACTCTGTGATAATTTTCTCAAGATCGACGCATCATGTGGCTCATTTGAATTGAGACAAGCTGCTCTAAACAAGGATGTACTATGGTTTACTAATGTTTTGCGAAGTCACAAAGCAGACCTTGGCACAAAAACCTCATCTGTATAGAGTTTACATGCACGTCGGTGGCAACTTCTTACAGTTTTACGTCATTCAATTGCAATCGGTTCATGAGAACGGTCAAACTTAGTGACTACCGATCCGAGTCCTAGAATGAGGTTCTAGGAGTATCTCTAATAAAAAGGTATAAATCCCTGCTTAGACATCTCCTACATCCATTTTTAAAACAAACACGTCATCAAGTTTTAAAGAAGGTTGTTATTCCGATAGTAGCATGTGATGAAATGAGGGGACAGACTCGGCTACTGTTCTTATAAACGGATTTTTCTTAAAAAAAACATTTCGCACCAAATTTCATTCACTCATAGATACTAATCTGAGGTATCCTTTGTTATACAAGCATTCTCTCACTTTGCAGATTCAGTACACCTGCAAATGTGATGAATGGTGATCACAACTCTAGGGTGGAGCGTGCCCTTAGGGGACGGTGTAAACAAATGGCACTAATGTATGTTTGTTGTGTACTCAACAATAGGTCAGGACTTGTCGGGACAGTCTAGAGGTTAGAACCTCTTGCAGATTTGCAAAACACCAGCTCAGCAAATACAACAAAAAGTCAGACCTTTACAGGACTAAAAGAGTTACAAAAACAAACCTAGAGGTCTAAGGAGTCCTACCTTTTCAGCCAGCTCAGCTGCATTGAGTTTGGGGTCGTATGGAATGGGGTCACCCAAGTAGGTGCGAAATTTGACTGGAAATCCTCCATAGATCGGTGCTATCGGCAGACGAAACCTCTCATAAACCCATCGGTAAAATCCTGAAGGAATTTAGACATGAATTGAAGACCGACTCATTTAACTCTTTCATAATGGCATGTAATCTATTTAGAGTACTATTTATAATTGTGAGGAAAGTTCAATGTTTTCTGACTCACTTAATGTTCCAAGAGAGCGAAATCCCTCCCTCAAGTTTTGAGTAAACATTGGTATAACTGGCTGTAGGGACAAAACATACTCTGTATAAAAGGAGTATAAAAGGAGAAGAATAAGAGGGACAGTCATTTACCACTTTAGAGTCAATGGCCACTTGTGCAAATCCTTTGCGTTTGCCCCAGATCAGAGGGTACGTCTCATCGCTGAACAAGGCCTCCCGTACTCCTCCAGGAGAGATGCCCAGAAGGTGGCCGTTCCGCAGAGCCTTCACACACTCCTCCTGCGGTCCATGGATCACACTAAACACTTCCAAGAGGAGCTTAAACCCTGCCATGGCCATTACACAGATAATAGAAGCACAATTCACCAGAGTGTGTGTGACCTTGTTGACCACACAGAAGTAAAAATAGAAAAGACAGACTAACTTCTAACAGGGCATTGTTGCAATATTTATTGTGTTAAAGAATAAATAAAATGTTGCCATTTTAAAAACTAATGGCAGATAGAGGTTTAGGACATGTTTTGTCCCAAAATTCACTGAATCGCATTGAAATTAAGTTCTGAGTAATGGCTCTGTCATGAGCAAAATGAGGCTGACTGATCACTTCATTAGAATTTGCAAGTTGTTTTTACCTGGGACCTTGAACAGAAAATGATCAGCCACCGAATGACAAGTTCTTCCCTTTTGAATGATAAGACTTGCCAAGAAATAATAGTAGTCTATAGGAATCGCCCCATGATAGTAGACTATGAGAGCAGGTCCTTCATCTGGAATCTTCTCTAAACCATGGATTTCATAACCTGTCACAAAATATATACTTAATCAGGGGAAAATGATTCAACATTTTTTTGTGAAGTACGACACATTGCAACACTTGTATCCAAAAGTGATTGTATATAAAGATTTCTATTTCAATTATGAAGCAGCTCAATGGTTTAACATTGTTGACAATGGAATAAAAATGTTTCTTGAACACAAAATCAGCATATTAGAATGATTTCTGAAAGATCATGAAAATCCGTCAAAACCGTTATTTAGATGTTCCTCTTTATAAAGACTGAGCGTGACCATCATTAATTGTGCAGTAAAAGATAAATAAAAAAAAATCACATTAAATCAAATCTTACATTAAGTCTTCAGACATCACTTTTTAATTATGCTGCGACTAATTCCCGTCTATCACTCGAAGATCAAATTAACGGCACAGTAGATGCAAAATATGACCACAATGAATCACTTCAATTAATTCAAGATAACAACAAGATAACAATCCACATCTCAATAAATGCAGCTCACACGCCAAATCCATTACATACCGTGCCAAATAGCTCCATGTCCATCCCATAGGGTCGCCAGAGTTTTCCTCGCACCATCCCACAGGTTATTGGAATAAGCTTCCCTCAGCTGGATCTTGCGTTTGTACACATGGAGGAAGAGTATTGATAGATAGAGGAAGATAACTATAAGAAAAGGCAGGATGAAGACCACTGCCAGAGGCGTGAAAACCCAGACCAAATACTCCAAGAAACTGAGGAAGTCCTCGAGCTTCCCGAGCCCTGCCCAATTCTCCCATACATGAACCAAGCAGGAGAGGAGGTTGATGGATCCATTCTCAAACAGGCAGGACTCATTCCCACTGGACATGCTGCTTAACTGTTAGCCTCTCCCAGTGGCAGATGTGCTGAGCAAGGCAACACTCTGCCAAAGGGCAGACCTGAACATGAAAGACACAAATTGTCTGATATTAAGATCGTGGCATTAAAGCTGACGTGTACATTTTCAAATTCCAGTTAAATATGCAATCCCTCTTAAAATGTATAAGATCATATAAATATTATAACAAGTGTGTGAATTACATGGGGTTGGGAATTGTATTTTAGGTTAGGGAAAATCGAAATCGAAAATGACTGCGGATATGGAGATATGTGAATAATCCCAGAATTTGCAAACTCAAACAAGAAGAGTGTTGCTTATGGGTAACCAATGATTTTATACTTCAGATTTAAGGGGGTCAAAGAAGATGAAGATATATTTCTAGCGCTGACTGGTTTCAAATCGTAATTTCAGTAATTTCCCTGAAATGACCATTAACATTACCTGAACTGTTGAATTAAATAGCCAACACTCATTCAGTGTTTGCATGGATGAAGAACATAAAGACCTGGTTTCACAAAAAGGGCTTAGAATAATCCAGGATTAGGACTTAATTAGGACATTTAAGTAGCTTTTCTAAGCGAATCTTTGAAAGGATCATTAGAAACAAAAACAAACAAAAAGATTTACTGGTGTTCATCTTAAAACCAAACAAGAGCACTGATATATTTTAAGATATGCCAGTTTAAGTTGCTTTCAGTTAAAACAGCTCAAACATTACTTTTGCTTTTTTTTAACACGTGCATTTTAGCCTTGTCTTTGAAACCGGGGGAATGGAATTAAAAGAGTTGTACTACAACTACAACTTCAACTATGGTACTATTTCTGTCATTGACAGATTTTATACTGTTAAACTGTATGTACGACGCAAACTGTTTGCTGAAAATATCCGAAAATAGATCTGTCAATCGCTCGAGAAAGATGCACTCCTTATTTCTTAAGTCACGGGACTCGACCAATAGCATGAGTTTGGGGCGGGGTTATATGTTTGTCCAACAAATGGCAAATGGGTGACTGACAACAATCATCATATTTTCAACGAAGTTTAGAGACAATAGTAGCGTCTAGCATTTACATACTTCAGCTTTGACTCCCAAGTCAAATTATAGTAATTTGATAGATTTAAAAAAAAAAAAAACACCTGTATCGAAAGAAGATATAAAAACAACAACTCACGAACCTTCTCCAGCGGAAATATGTTTCTTGACCGAACATACCAAACTCACATCGGTGCCCTAAAAATGAAATGACATTGACAGCCAAGTTATACCTGTTCATTCACACTCAGTCACAGGTGAGACTGCTGTACACATGTCAACGTCATTTAAACTGTAAATGAACACTGTCAAATGCATGAAAGATAACACGGAAATGTGTAACTCTATTTTACGTTACACTTGAACACTGGATAACCGATCATAGATAAACAAACCTTATAACCCCAAATGTTGCGTTTTTAAAGCTGTCACCAATAAATGACACTTCTTCTAAATGCCAAGAAAAGCGAATGTTTTAGTAAAACCTTTTAAAATAAGCATTTCTCAAATCTACTTACATGCCGAAACCTCGATTAAATAGATACTGTTGCCCTCAATAATGTTTTCCTTCTCGACTGAACCGGCTCTCTTTACATGTGACACAAACAGGAAACCCATCTCGTCAACGTCCGTGACCGTCCCTAAAACTTCATAATAAAAGTCTAAGCCCTCATAAAAGCCATTTTAGACATAGACAAGAATTGTAAATGTATTGAAAGTCTTTTAACTTGACGGGCAATTTCCAAAACACGAGGGGGGAAACTCGCACAGCGAGCGAGTCTTAAACGTGTGTATAAAATTAGATCGATTTTGTAATGCTTTTAATCTTCCTCGTTTTAATCCGTCAGTATATTTATATATAGCTTCTCGCTGTCGTTTTTATTTGTAATGTCTGTGTAAAAGAGCGATTATAAGGTTTGTAGCAAAGTCTCGGGTAGATTCTGTTGACAGGTGTCACTCATGGTTCAGTCTATTATGATTAATTACGGCAAGCTAAATGTCGTTCCTCTAGCTGACATCATCTTCTATCAGGGTGAAGAAAGAGAGATGACCATACATTGCTTGTGCTCCAGAGCTTACGTCAAGTATGTATTTTTTGTTGAACAAGATTCTGTTTTGATCAACTGATATAATGTGTATGCAGTTTTTTAAGTGCGTTAGTCCGCAAGTTAGAATTTAATACACCGATGACTACCTGCTGAAAATTACTTAGCTGGCCTTAACTAGTCTGAGCAGCAGAAACGTGCCTAAAAATGAGACTACAGAACACAGGCTAGACTGGTAACGTAGACCAGTTAAAGGGATAGTTCACCCAAAAATGAAAATCCTTCCTGTCGTCATTTACTCGCCATCAAGTTATCCCAAACCTTTCTCCCAAAAAATTATTTCTTCTGATGAACACAAAAGAAGACCCTTTAAGACTATGTCAACCTAGTGGTCAGTGTGACACCCTCGGGTTTTCAGTCACTATCTGTTACTTGGAGCAGATTCATTTTTCAGTTGCAGTCCTTCCTAATATGCAGTCCTGCTGAAAAACAATCAAGCATATGATGGTCTCTTGCCTGTTTACTGTTATCAAAACACAATTTCTCTTATTTTCATCCACAGTGATCGAGAATTGTACCGGTCAGATTTTAAAGCCATTCTAAATCAGACTGACAATCAAGGTACAGTTGTACTGTTCATTTCTGATTATGGAGAATTATGAGTATGACCATTTGCACATCAACTAGCTGACATTGAATTTGCCCAATGGTTCTCAACAAAGACTTAAGACTTTTATATCAACTTAAGATGTTTAAAAATGATTTAAAATGAGACTAACAAGCATTACATTTACATTTTGGGTGTTTTGTTTTCAGTAGATGTTGAAGCTAATGACAGGGAAGAGCTTTTGGAGAATTCGAATTGTTCTGTGGAAGAGGAGGAGGAAGAGGCCATTGTTGATGAAGAGACCATGCTTATGGCCAGTTTGGGGCTTCCTGTGGAGTTCGCCAGCTCATCAGAACAGAGGAGAAGTGTATGTTTGTTGGATGCATGATGACCTTGATGTTTTTGGGAACTATGGCTGGAATAATTAAGATTTTTCATAACAATAATATAAGTATTTTATGCTCACCAAGACTGCATACAAAGCCCATACAAAAAATACAGTAAAAAGTAATATTAAATATTATTACAATTTAAAATAACTTATTTTTAATATGTTTAATTTATTCCTGTGATGGCAAAGCTGACACATGATTCTTCAGAAATTATTCTTATATGCTGATTTGGTGCTCAACTATTATTGCTGCTCAATTATAAATAATGGTTCTGATTATTATCAATGTTGACAATTTTTTGCTACTTAATATTTTTGTGGTTTTTAATTTTTTTTCAGGATTTTTTGATGAATAGAAAGTTCAATAAATAGCATTTTTTTGAAATATAAAACATTATAAATGTCTTTACTACTACTTTTGAATGTAACTTCTACCCCAACCTTTTAAATGATGGTGTCTCGCGGTTTCCAGAAATGATTCTGAAGCATCAAATCAGCATATTGGAATGATTTCTGAATGATCATGTGACACTGAAGGCTGGCATAATGCTGCTGAAAATTCAACTAATTATCTTTGATAATGTAACCATTATCTTTGTGAGCGTTTTGATACACCTGGCATTAACGTGCAATTTGTATTCAAATACTGTGTAGACATTATTAAACTGGATTGTGTTGGCAAATAATGAAAAAAAGCGTTAGCATTTACACATTCGTCTCACGTAGGTCAGTGGTCTGATCTTAATGTGTCTTGGATACAATGTGTCTAGGATTTATTTACACCTGGCTTTTTACAGTATATATGCATTTGTAAATGCCCAGACGTGAACGGGGCCTGTAAGTCTTTGGCTTATCCAGTGCAGTGAAGCTTTTTTTTTGCAAATTGTCATTAAAGAATGTTAAGTTTTACCCCATTTACTTTAGGAAATGACTTGGCTTTGGGTCAAAACTAATGATTTTGTCTCATCTTTAAGGGCCTGGCGAGACTGAAGAACAAAAGATGCATCAAGCTTTTGGAAACCCCCCCAGATTATGCCGACACAGACGAGGACTCTGAGCAGAAACAGCAGTGTGCTGTGAGTGACATCGCTGAGACCCCCGCTGAACAGACGTGTCCCATGTCAGAGGTAGCCTGGCTGAGGTACTGGGAGCAGCAAGGGGAGGGTCTGCTGTGGCAGAGCTGGCTGGAGAAACATCCCGAAAATTCCAGCAGTACAGAGCAGGAATGTTCCCGCTCAGAGGCAGGCTGGGACGAGCACTGCCAACAAGCATACCAGTACTACTGGGAACAGTTTCACTACTGGGCCGCCCAAGGCTGGACGGTGGACGAGTCCTATAGCACAACCACTGCTTCTGAGGAATATCAGGGCAGCCGAGGAGAAACAGACGAACTCAAGAGTCAGACGGAAGAAAGATCGAACGCAATCAGCGTTACAGATCTCATAAGCAGCCTGAGCTTATTGACTGAGGAAGTTGACAGCGATGATGGCCACCAGCAGTCTTTGGTCTGTAACTGTGCTGATGAGCCCTGTGATGGTGGAAACCGCAAAAGGTCATCTTCACGTAGAGGCTGCACTGACACTTCGGGTTGGTGCATGTATTTTCAAAACCTCTTTGTTTATTAGCTATGGGGACTGTGGTGATGCTAAACCCAAATATGTCAACGCCTTCCTGCTCCATGACCTACTTTCAGTGTATTGAATCTAGTGCAGATGTAATAAGTTCAGATTTATTCTGTCAGTCACAGCATGGGCCTAGTGTGTCCGTTATATTTTCTGCCATTCAGAATGACACGATGACGTATTTTTAAACTTATTAGAAATAAACAACATAGAATAATTGAATGGTTATTAATCACCCCCTAGCATTGACATATTTAAATTACCATCAAAATAAAGGGATAGTCCACCCAAAAATAAAGGTTCTGTCATTTACTCACCCTCATGACTTTATTTCTTCGGGGAAACAGAGAAGATATTTTGAACAATGTTGGTAAACAAACAATTTTGGTGACCATTCACTTCCATTGAATGGACAAAACACTGAAACATTTCTTAAAATATCTTCTTTAATGTTCCACAGAAGAAAGAAAGTCATACATGTTTGGAATTATATAAACATAAATAAAATTGAACACATTGAATTAATAGCTATTCATATATTACTTAATCTATTAATCATATAGACTCTTTATTATTTGCTGATGCAGTAATCATTAATTAATGGATTATCTGTGCATTAGTTAAGCATGAATTAATGCATATTAGTCCACCCATATTGTAAAGTGTTACCAACACTTTTTATCAGGCTTGTAGAGGATCACAAAGTAAGAACATTTAAAGTCTTTTAACTTTTTGTAATCAGAGGTATTTCAGATAAAACAAGAGGTTAAAAATAATTAATAGGGTTGCAAAAGTAAGAGAACAGAAGGTGTGTAGTAGACAAGTAAAAAAAAGCAGACAATTAAGGTGTCATTTTGACTTTTTTTTTTTTTACTGTTTTTTGTTTTTGAGTTGGCCTGCTCAGCTGTGATGATGATGTCATCACCGCACTGTTGGAATCACCAGGATAGCAAGTCACAATTCTGTTCACTCAATGCTCAATGTGTAAAAGCAGATCGTTTTCCCCAGAGTTCTTTTTTTTTTTGCAGCCTAAGCTTGGCTCTGCCTGAATGTTTAATGCATCACATCAAAAGATGTCAGATGTTGAATGAAAGGAGCATGTGACTTTGGCCTATGCATTTTTAATGCCTGTACATGTAAAGAGCGCAGGCTCCTGGGTGCACGAGTTGATCACAATCCACTCACAATCGCTCTAAAAATGGCTCTTGTCATCCTGATTGGCGGGCCATGACTGATGCCATCTAAACAGCAGCCTTTTTTGTAACGCTGGAGCGGCTCTTATGCCGTATACATCAGGCGGTATAAGACACAGACACGCTTTTTTTATAAAGATAACGTAGCTATTATCTTTAGTAAAGTGAAAGTGTGTGATTTCAGATGGCAACATGAAACAGACCACTGCACCATTGAATAATCGGAGTGGACAACCCGTAAAGAACAGATCTAACGATGAGGATCAGAGCGATGATGATGATGAACCTCCAGGGAACAGACGAGCTAAAGTGAAGAGAGCGTAAGCTGCCGATGTGTTATTCAGTACATTATTGTATCAGACTTGCATGCTTAATGTTTATGGCATGGTATAGTTCTGCAATTTTTTTTTTATCATTTTGTCATAATTGTTTCACTGATTTCATTCCAAATCTATTTGCTGTTTTTTCCATTGAATACAAAACTAAATACAAAATTTTAAAAAACTATTGAGCTCAGAAAAACTATTGAGTTCTATTCTTTTAACGTCATTATTTAAATATATACACTACACCTTAAAAGTTTGGTGGTCGATGAAAAAAAAAAAAATCATCATGGAGGCATTAAATGATCGTAATAACTTTAAAGACTTCCGCTGCTCTGTTCACAGTCATGAGCTGGATGCCGAGGAGCTTGCGGAGGTGCCGGTTGAGGAGGCGTGGGACGTTCTCGGCCTGAAACGTAGTGCACAGCCCAA